GGCAGGCAGGCAGGCAGGCAGGCAGGCAGGCAGACAGACAGACCGACATGTATATTTTCATTCTTTGTGGTTACTTCGTGTTTTTTACCTGCTTTATAAGCTGTCCAGAGCTTACAAGTAAAACGTTATCAGGAAGAACAGAATAATCTTCTCTAGGCAGGCAATGTGCATACTCTGCCATCTTTAGATAAAAGAAGCAGGGACCAGAGATGAAAAAGAGTGACCTTGTTCCACCCGAAAGCGACCCAGCTGGAGTGGACAACATTTGAGCGTAGGGCAGACATTAGCCGCCGAACACTGGCTCTGCTTGCAGATAGATTCACTTTCGGTCTTTGGAACAGAAAACTTGGCTCGAGTGGGTGAGGCAGTTTGGGGTGCCCGTTGGGGTTCACGGCGCTGGGCAGGCTGGTCCAATGGCCTATCTTTCTCCAAAGCGCTTCCGTATCTTGCTGTCAAAGGACGGTGGTGGCTGTGTGCGCGTTCCAAGGTGGGGAGAGAGATGGCCTTCACACTCCTATCTCTGCAGCTGCAGAAACATCTGTGTCTTCTCTCTGCAAGGGGAAACTCCCGAGAGAGTTAAATTAACTCGAGTTGCAGCTACGAAGGCAGCCAGCCAACGGCCATGACAGCAGGGTGGTTTTGCGTGTGGGGTGTGTGTGGGGGTGTTTTAAGGTGGCTGAAAAGTTTGCAACTTTCGAACATGCCCCGAAAGTTATTCCTGGAGGCTACGTGTTAGGAAGAAAGACTGTTGGAAGGTTACATCCTTCTTCATCCGAAGTTGTAGTGGAATGTCCTATTTCCTCTGTTTAATCGTTATATATGGGTGCCCTACAGACAATGTATGATATTTAATTGAATGTAAACTGGCCATTTTCTTCTATAAACACTTCCTCCCACGTTTGGCGCGTGACCTTTGAACGTTTTTTCTCTGGAAAAAAATATTGTGAACTTATTGTTCTTGGCCTTGGGCTAATGATCAGCCAAGATCAGCCAGAGGTATTATAGTGTCTGTCCTTCCAGGAAGGGCAAGTCAGGAAACAGACACTGCAAGGATCACAGGTATGGCACCTTTTATTCTTGGATGGCAGAAACTGGGAGGCCTGCCAGAGATTCCCTTTGCCCCCTCTTCTCCCAAACAGAATCAAGGCAGGATTCTCTTGAGTTCCTTTCTCACTCTTTCCCCTTTCCCTGGACTAAATTGTCATTTTTCTCCCTCAACAGCTCCTGAATACAGGTAGTCCCCGGGTTAAGAACGCCCAGTTTAAGGATGACCTGTAGTTAAGAACGGAGCCTATTGTAGCAAAATCTGAGTTAAATCCACAAGGGTTCGAGTTCCTTACACAATACTACTTAGATAGTATTATACAATAATACTGTTCTGGCTTTTGTACAAGTTCAACTTAAGGACAGACCTTGGGAACGGAACTGGTTCTCAAACTGGGGACTCCCTGTACCTTTATCAACATTACAGGTAGTCCTCACTTAACGTCCATAATTGGGACTAGAAAGTCGGTCGCTAAGCGGAGTGGTTATTATGCACAATGTCCCGTGACCATGCCGCTTAGCAACGGCCTTTCCAGCAGTCCCAGTTGCCATTGTTAAATGAGGACTTCATGTGACCACGACTTCCATCTTCCTGCCGGCTTCCCCATTGACTCTGCTTGTAGGAAGCCAGCAGGGAAGGTCACAAATGGCGATCACATAACTGTGGGAGGCTGCGACGGTCGGAAGCGTGGGCCGGTTGCTGAGTGCCCGATTTGCAATCACGTGACCGTGGGGGCACTGTGACAGCCGGAACTACGAGGAGCAGTTGTAAGTCCCATTTGTTCAGCACCATCATAAGTTCAAACAGTTGCTGAACGAGTGGACGTTCAACAAGACTACCTGTATCTCTGTCTTCTTCTATATATAGTAATCTCTAGCATATCTAACTATATTTATATGTGGATAAATTGGTTTACTTGTCATTAATTATCATACCTCCATTTCTAATAGGTGTGATTGATGTCCGTGTGTGTGTTTATGTGTGTGTGTGTGTGTGTGTGTGTGTGTGTATTCCTGCATAGGAAGTACAGTTGCACCACCCACAGAAGAAGAGTTCCTTTATTTTCTGCCACATTTTTCTAGTGATGAAATAATGTCAGACCATTTCTGATTAAACTCCCATGTGATTTCTGAACAATAATCCAGAGTGAACCTCAGCGTTCCAGAGGAAGTCGAACTGCTGACATTCTCCAGCCTCGAGAAAGCATTAAAGCTTACAAGAAGCAGGTGGATCCCACCAAGGATCCACCAGATCTGCCAGAAGTTCCTTCAGAACCAGAAGCTCAGCTCGATGTCAGACAGCACGTGGAAAAAGAGAAAGTGTTGGTGAGTCTTGAATTAGTGTTACTTCAGAAATTTGGGCTTTACTTCCAAGATATAGCACTGCAGGAAGACCTAGTTGATTCCCAGTCCAGATCCCCTTCCCCTCTCCAAATTAAGGATTGCGCTGAATTCGATGCATGAGATACGCAGAATTATTCCTGTGCGACAGGGATGATCTTGGCCGTATTTGTGAAAAATTGCCAGCCTGGTGTTCCCCTTTCGAGGTGGGAGACCCACAAAATGACGAACAGGAATCAACAATTCTCAGTCTAGGTTGAACCGTTATATAAAGATGGAGTAGATGCCTCTAGGTCTCAAGGTTTGAAAAAGAACAGCCCAAAGTCAATTGACTTGTAAAGGTGGGAGGAAAATGCCTAGGATTTGAACATGGGGCTATCCTATCTATATTGGGTTTGATTCCTGTCTTCTGCAAGAGGTGGATCATCTGCGTATATATGATTTCTTTGAGGTCTGCAATAAAGCAGCTATTCTAGCCTTGTTAAATCGGTGAAACTTTTGTTCTTACGGGATACCCAGTTGAGTTTCTCTGGTGTGGATATTGATTGCCCTATTTAGTTAAATCTAACATATTGGGGCGGGGGGATAAGCCCTGAATATCAGTGGAATTCAGCAGAACACTGCCTCCCCCCCAAAAAAGATGGAGGCCCTCCTGCTTTGTGTCAGTGATTTTTCCTGGTTGTCAGCATACTACTTCAGGAGACCCGAAAGAAGGGGTTTGGTGGTACGTTCAGCGACAATCAGAAGAACGGCAGGGCAATCTGGTGGGGTCTTCATCCTTTCCTCTGCTCCCATTTGGCCAGCTTCCCCCCCAAAAAAATTCACTGTCCCTCAAACCATTTGAGTCCCCCATTAGGGGGAGATGGGCAGAGATCAATGTAATCACTAAATAAATAAATAAATGCATTTTCCTCCCTGGGTCCCTGGAAAGACAGATCTTCTTCCTGCTGGTAGGGAATCACTGGTAGAGATGCCCAGTTTTGTCTGTCTTAAGGAAAAGAAGCAGAAACGGACGTCAGGCCAAACCGAGACATCCATCCATTTTCCCTTTCAGCCCCCCTTTGTGAGGCTGAGGAGACTGGAGTTGAAGGAAGACCCTTCCCCACCACCAGACAGGGGAAAGGAGGTAACGCAGTTGGGCATGCAAAGATCTAGAGCTGTTCCTGAAGCGTTCTGAAGCATGGTCCACCCCGTGCCAGTCAGGGCTTCTGTGCCTTTGCTGCGATGGCGCCACGTTGCACCACCTCGTGGTGGGCAGCATGTAGAAACGGGAAGGTGGGACATATTAAATTCCTAAATAAATAAATTGTTCCGTGCAGGTCCGAATTTCTGCATGGAGGTCTGATCTCTGTTTATCGGCATTTTTGATATCCTGAAATTGCTCTTGCAGTGACCTCCTCTAGTTTTGTCCCTACAATTTTGTGGGGGAATTTGGAAGGTGGGTCTGGTTGAGACATTGCGGCTGTCCCCAACAACCCAGAGAGATGCTGTGGTTCAGTGTGGACTTGAAACCAGCTTTCCTTGGTTCTGGTCCAAAATCCTAACCATGATGCCATCGCATTTAAGGCACAGGAGCCCTGTTACTTGAGAAAATAAACTGGCATTTTTCCACCCATGGGTGTTTGTGGGGAGGCAAAGGAGGGGATGGGGTGTGATGACGTCATTGTGCAAATGATACAACTGATGTTCTAACCTCAGATGCCATGATGTCATGGCAAAGCCATGCCATCTGTACAACAGTGTCATGCTACACAGAGCATCGTTTTGACATTATGGTGGCTTACCACAGACATTGTTGCTTCTATGACCTCATTCCAATTTTTGGGAGAGGGAGGGAGGAACAAGAGAGGAGAAGCTGTGCAAATCTGCAAAGCTAATTCCCTTCAACCCTTCAATTACTTTTCTCAGAAGGGGTCACAACCTTTGCTTGGACGGGCTAAGAACAATAGCCTCCAAGTTTGATTCACTGGGCTGTTTGAATGGTGCTATTTCAGTATAATAATCCAGTTTACTAAGCTAGGGGATAGATAAGTCCTTTCAGTGAGCAAAGTGCTTAGAACTGTACTCTCCTCCAACCAGGATGAGCAGTTTCCAAGCAAGCCATGATATGAAGTGGATTCCAAGCCATATTTATGATTTGACTCAAAAATTAGACCAGCTTTGGACGCCAGCTAAACCAGAAACCCTGGTTTGCAAACCATATCAGCTGGTTTACTCAACACAACCCCAATGTGTTTGAGGGTGTTGTCTGAACCAAGTTCTTAATAATGGAAGATGTCCTGATGAGTTGGTTCACACGAAGGAGGAAGTAAATTCAGTTGTTCATTCCCTTGTTCCATAGCTAGAGAAACCAAATGTTCAGTGGGAGGTGGTAAAGGATCAGCGTGCTCGGCTGCAAGTTCTGGACACCTCGAAGCCACCAAGTGGGAAGGCTGGACATCTGGAGGACCCAACCACACCCAGCCTGGAAAGGCCAGTTGAAACCCGGAGGGAGCCGAGACAGAAGTCCTGGACTGGGATCACCCCAAGAATTAAGGTCCCCCCAATGAAGAAGACAGAGGTTTCCAAGTTGCCATCTAAAGTTATACCAGCACAAGGAATCCGTAAGAAATGGCCCAAGGTACGTTGGGGGTTCTTGGTCCCCAGAACTGAATGATCTCCAACTCCCTCTCTCTTAGGTAGTGTTTCTTAAACTTCTGACTTTCAGGAGCCCTTCCCACTTTGAAAAATTATGGAGGACCCCAAAGATAAATATGGGTGATATTTATCCATATTCCTTGTATTAAAAATCGAAATGGACTTATTTGTGGAATCTTTATTTATTGAATCATGTAAAAATAACAACATTAAGCCCATAAGATATGAACACCGTACTAAATCAACCTGTCTTGTATTCCTCCATGTTTTCTCCTTAGCCCAACCTCTATTCTCTCTTCTTCCTTCTCCTCTTCCTCATCCTGAGCATTAGTTGCTGGTTTGTATGGAAACATGGAATCCCCAACTCTTTCATACTCGGATATGGCCCTTTGACCCTATGGAAAAGTTTTGCAACGCTGTGGAGCGAGGCGGAAGAATGCGATGCGCAGTGCAGGCAAGGGCTCTTCGTTTATTTACATGGCAGAAAGGTGGTTCAGAAGTTGGGCCAAGCTTGGGGCAACTCCAACGCTGCTGAAACCCCTGTCCTTTCTTCTCCCTTCTCTCGTTTCTAGCCTGGTCCTCCTGGAGAGCATCCCAGACACCTTACAGTTTCAACCTCCAAGTCCTCAAAATCCCACCATTTACCAAGCGTGGATGGACCTTCTGTCAGGAGCCAACAGCACCGTAGAGATTGCAGCTTTCTACTTTACCCTACGAGACTCCGATTTACATATGGAGGAGCCTTCTGCAAAGCAGGTCTGTTTCTCATTTGGGTCTCGGGGATAAGATCCATCTCTGTAAGCCCCATGCCGAGAAGTGGGGCAGAGCCAAACAGGTCTTGTGTTCCATCTACAGGTAGATTTTCAGGTTAAAATCTTGGACTAAACTGGAGTTGGTAGTGGTTGAGTATTGATCATTTCAAGTAGGTGACCTCTTGAGCATTTCTTCCTCCTCCCACCATGAAGAATTCATGCTTACCTTTTAAACATAGTTATGATAGTTCTAAATTGCTTGAAAGATGGTTACCAGCAATAACTGGGTTTTAGAAAGCGACTGTTGCAAAACTTACGTCCAGAAAGGCGGCCAGTGTAGATCTTTCTCCAGACATGGCAGGCCTGCTAGTAAACACATACAACACATTGAGTATCAGGATCACCAGACATATTTCCTGTTGATCAGAGATCATCTGGAGTGTGGAGGGTGGAACATCTGTAGAAGGCTGTTGAAAAACTGGAGCATATCCAGAGGAGGGTAACTGGGATGGGACAAAGGCATCTGATGAAAAATGTTTGATGCTGCTCTTCCTGATATAGTGACCACATGCAAAAAGGTATCATTGAATAGCAATTATGGTGATGGTAATCACCGGCCCTTTGTTAGCCTTGTGAGGTAGTCCAGAGAAGAAGCACCACCAGGAGTACTAGCTCCATCTTTACTGTAAGGTTACCTGAACAGAATCTTGCAAGACTGAAAGTATTTCTCCCATCCCTCACTTATACTCTCCTAAAAACTAGGGAGGGTCCTTTCTAAGATGCTTCCCCCACCCCCATCCCTCCTTTGGACTC